GGAAAATCCCAAGCAGGCTTTGCAAGCATGGATCCCGACCAGGGACTTGAACTCACAAACCCGTGAGATCATGACCTGAGCCAAAACCAAGAGTCGGACACTTAACCAACTGAGCCACCCAGGCGCCCCTCACATTTTCTTCCCTAGCATGGAAACGCTTCCTCTGTGCACCTGTATTAGTTTTTTACACAGTGGGTCATTATCCCAAACCCAACAATGAGCATTTACCATCTCATGGAGTTTCTGAAGGCCTGGAACCTGGGAGCGGCTTAGCAGGATGGCTCTGGCTCAGGGTCTCTCATGAGGCTCCAGTCATCAGAAGGCTTGACTAGGGCCGGGACCCACTTGCAAGTGGCATGCAGCTGGCTTCTCCAAGCAGGGCTTGGCAAACTTACCTCTAGAAAAACAGATAGGAAGTGTTCTCAGCTCTGTGGTCTCATACGATCTCATTGTGCAAACGCAGTCACAGATACCACGTGAATGAGTGTGGCTGTGCTCCGGTAAAACTTTACTTGGGGATACTGAGATTTGGATTTCACATAATTTTCATGTCACAAAATATTCTTATTTTGATTTTTTTTCAACCATTTACAAATACAAAAACCATTCTTAGCTCAGAGGCCTCACCAAAAAAATTGGACAGTAGGCTAGTTTGGGGCCATGGGCCTGTAGCTTGCCCAAGAGCAAAGGACTCCAGAGCGGAGCAGATGCCACAGTGTCCTTCATGGCCAAACCTCAGGGGTGGTCCTCTGTGATGTGGGAGGAGATTACGGGAGGCATGAACCCCAGGAGGTGGGGATCACTGCGGGCTGGGTACCACACCCCACTGACTCCCAGGTTGCCTCACAGGTGACTGTTCTCCATGAACAGTGTGGTCACTGTATTCTTATCAGCTCATTATTAGAAAAATCTTCCTTCAGAGAAAAAAAAATCTCAGTAATGGAGTATAAGGAGTGATGCCTGCTGAGTTTGCATCCGAGGGTCTGGTGCCAGAATAGAGGCTGATGCTGGGGCTGATGGTGGTGTAGGAAGCTTAGCCACAGTCCGACAAAGCAGGTGTCGGTTTTGTTCGTGTGGTTTGGGGTAGCAGGAGGAGAGGTTTTATTTTTGAGCTGTCTCTTTCACTCGGAGAAACGGCCTCTGAGAAACTTGTGGGACTCCCTAAAGTTGATCTACCTCCCGGTGACTGGAGTTTTGGTATTAATTTAATATGCCTGGGAAGCAGCCCACCTGCCATGGGAAAGGCGGTAGACTTCCTGTTCCCAGCATAGAGTGACAAGGAAATTCACATGGAGAGGTTACTCTTGGATATTACGTGTTTAATTCCGGAGGCATTTCTGCTTTGCCCTCCAGAACCCCCCTGGCAAATTGTTCTCCCTCCGAAGAAAACAACAGAATGGAAGGAGGTTAGCTGATGGCGCAGGGAGTGTCCGTGTTGTTCTTCTGAATTTATTGACGAGCTTAGGTAAAGAAGAAGTGTTCTGGGAGAGGGGTTCTTTTGTTATGGGGCACAAAAGAGCGGACTCCCGTTTCTGCCAGAGGAGAGGAACGTCACTGAGCTCCTGGGCGTTGCCCAAAAGCCCTGCTGGGCGCCCGGGTGGGAAAGAAACCACTTCCACTGTGTGGCTCCAGAGGTGTGAGCAGGCACCAGTACGGTAACCTGGGGGCTGGCGTGCAGCAGCTGTGGGGGGTGGGGGGCTTCGGCTCAGCAGCGGCGTCTTGGTGGTAACTACAAGCAGGTGGGATGGGCTCCTCTGGAGCAGCCAAGAATCCCTCTCCCCTCAACCGCGCAGAGCACTTAGGCTTTAAATCGACGACAAAGCCTGTCCTTAACCTTCTCTTAAGCTCTCGTCTCTGTACCGCCACCGCGAGTGTCCTTGAGCGCCTGTGTCTGCGTGCCGACCGCTGACGTCCCAGAGACAGGGCTGCGGGGCGAGGCCCCAGCTTTCAGAAGCTGGGTGGCAGAAGGACCGGGTTGTAATGGGGCAGGAGAGGGCTCGAGCAGAGGTGCAGCGAGCTGTAAGCCC